TAACAAAGGGACACGGGTGAAGAACTCGACGAATCTAGGTGTATTTGTAAAGAGAAGTAGAGTTTTAGAGAGAGGGTGTAGATCTAGGGTTTTTAGAATGTTTAGATATATATATATATATATGAAAAAGTGATTTAAAAAGTGACTTTTATGAACTGATATACGCACAGACCGCTCGAGCGCAAGAAGTGTTGCTTGAGTGACCAGACACCATAAGTGTGACCGCTCGAGCGAAGAATACAAACTCCTAGAAGTTTTACAATCAAACAACCGTCGCTCGAGCTTAAGAAAGACCACTCGAGTCAACACCGCTCGAGCGTAAGAATGACTGCTTGAGCGAAAAATGCCAACTCCTTATAGTTTTGTAGACCTGCAAAAAGTACTGAGAGTTCATAAAGACAACTCAAGCAAATAAGCAAAATTCTGAGCAATAACAGTTTGAAAAACAAGCTACCAACGTGCCCAAAACGCAACTAACACATCCCAATAGCCAAATCCAAAGAGGAATAAGAAGAAACAAGACATGAACAATTATATAAGACAATGAAACCTGGATCCGAAACATCAAATGTGTCAGGTCTATACCAGTTATCCATTATGCACGTGCGATGTCATTAACTAAAGGATTAGACTTTTTTCATGTTCACATTTCAATATGAGAGAATTTGAGAGGCCCATGGAGCCCACTATAAGTCTAGTTTCGATGATATGAGCCGTTCATCTTTTATGACTCGTTGAATAGAATATTCATACAAAAAATGAAGATAATCGAACATTAGTAGCTATATATTTGAATCAAATTCGTATTACCATAAATGGATGGCTATTTTTAAAATTATATTTGTCGTCTATTTTTTAAAAACAAATATGATTCAAACATATAACTATCATTGTCCAATTATCTTTATTTTTTACATGAATATTCTACTCAACAACTCAAAAAAAGTAAACAGTTTAGATCCTAAAATCAATTTTAAAATGAGTCTATCAAAGCTAAATGCTCTCTCAAATTGAGATGATAATTTTAAAGAAGCCAAACTATTAACTAATATAACCTAACACATGTTGAGTGAACTCCACCTTTTAAATGTAACTACCTATCCCAGTCATTTTTATAATTTCCATGTAACTTTCATATCATCGTGGTAGAATTGGGATCTATACATAATGAGCAAAAAATAAGATTTTATTAATTAATAATATCATATATATATATATATATATGATGATGTGGTATCACAATTATATTAAATTTTTTCACCATCGGATAAGAGAAATTAAATTTTTTCACCTTTGACAAAAATAAAATCCTTCAGCAAATTTTTAATTTTAATTTTATTTTATTTTATTTTATTTTTTTGACAAACCAACTATTTCTTTATCTTTTTATTTTACGCTAACCAAACATAACATTGATTAGCGTACGCACCACGTGGCCACATCTCTCATATATTAGAGAGGTGGCACCAGTTGCACGTGGATGGAGTGAACAAATCCAATCCACCACAAATCCAATCCAATCCACCGCCATCCAACCCCAGTAAACTTATGAAAAATGCTTCCTATCCCACTGAGGGTCGACCCCCAGTGAGGTGTCGCTCCAGGATTAGTGTAAAAAAAAAATTGTTTTTTTTTTTTTAAGTTTTCAGCCAGTGAGGACGCGCCACGTCAGGCGCGACCCCACTGAGGATATGCAGCGCTGTTGGTAAACTTATATAAAGTTCGGCCTCCTTTTTTGCAACATACTATCTTACTTTAAAATATAAAAAAATTATTAAAAAATTAATAAATTATACAACAAAGTTTTTTAAAAAATTCTTTTTTATTTTTTATACATTTTTTCATAAAAAATTAAATTTTTTTCTAAACATATTAATTTATTTTACCTCATATTTTAATTAAAAAAATATTAAAATAGTATAGTTCCAAACAAGACCTAAGACACTACAAATTCAAAATTATTTATTTAAAAATAAAAATTAATAATTTAAATTTATTTTATTTATAAATTCACAATTTATCAATTTATGTGAACCGTTAATTCTAGCTTTCCAAATTTTGAATTCTTAACTTTTTGTTTTTTCTTTTGGATATAAACTAAAATAGAAATATGATAGAGGCCACACAGATCTCGAAAGGCTTCGCACCCACCAGCCAGTCTCTGTTTGAATTTATTTCAACGAAATTACGTGGAAAGTTGGGTATCTTTTGTCTGGATAATCCGATCCGAAAAATGCTTGACAGCTCTGCGACAAGAGCTCTAAATCATACATTAATGAAGTGAAAGGGTGTCGAGTCTAACTCAGTGTGATGTTTTAGCTTGAATTTTTTTTTTTTTTTTTTTTGAGCATGCCAGCTCAGTAGAACTCTTTTTAAAACTCTATTTTTAGAGCTCTAGATCATTCTTGATCCGATCCCTCCCTCACCACCGCCCTCCATTTTTTATTTTTTTATTTTTTTTGTGAACAATCCCTCACCACCTCAGCACACCTTCCCTCCTTGCTTATTAGTGGAAATTATTGAATAATTTTGAAATATCACGTGGTAATATTTTAATTCAATCATAAATTACTCAGCTTCATATTATTTTTTTATTTTCAATAATTTTTTATCAATTAAAATCTCATGAAACACCATATATATATATATATATTCTGAAAATACTGAATAATCACCCGCTTGCTAAACCCAAGAATGAACCTAGGGAGCGGATGAGGAGAGTCGCTCCAAAAATTTGAAAATTAAGAAGTTGTTTGAGAAGTGTTAGATTAGTTTATTTTTTGACTTTTTATGAAAAACGTGAAATATGAGTTGGATTTAAAGTGATATGATAAAGAGGTGATATCGCTTAAATAAGATGATAGTGACCTAAATAGAATAATGTACCAAAACATGCCAAACAATCACTAAACTCATGTTTGAGATATGCTATATAAGTGCAATTTTTGACTTTTTGGTTAAAAAAGTAAAGGAAAAAAAATATATGCTTGGAATAACTTTGGGTGATTCTACTTACACCACTCTTTTACCTCTTTACACACTCCATCTCATTACACCACTTAAAAAAATTGAATTCTTATTACACCTAATATATTACCAAAACAAACCCTATGATAAAAAACTCTTCAAAACCCATCTCTTTACACTCATATTTTGTGCTACGCCTGTTCGGTAATACAATACTAAACAATTTGAATTACTCTAGTTCCATGTTACCGGATAAAATTTTGCTTCCTAGCATTATGTTACCATTCAATTGGATAATTTTAGTACGCTTCCCAACAAAGCCAGTAGAGTCCATATTGAAGTGCCTGTTTGGTCACACAATGCGAAACAATTTACAAAAATTCAGTGCTATAATGCCGAAATAAGTTGTTTGTTCCAACCTTTTGTTTCTATACATTTACAGAGCCACTTCCTTCCAAATAATGTAGTAATAATTTGTGCTGGGCCTGTTCGATAATAAAATGCTAGTGAATTTTAATTACTCCAATGTTATGTTGCTGAAAAAAATAGATTTGTCTAGCGTTTTGTTGCTATATATTTACAGAACCACTTTGTTTCAAATGATAATTTGGGCCTGTTCGGTAATTTGATACCAGACTTATATTTTTTGTTCAGCAATTTGATACCAGACTTATATTTTTGGTTCAGTAATTTACCGAAAATGTATCTTTTATTCGGCAATTTAATACCAGACTTATATTTTTTGTTTGGCACTGTGATGTCGGACTATGTTATTTTGTTCGATTTCGAAACACCGAACAAAAGTCGCAGACCAACCCAGAAATTTGAAACAAAAACCTACCAAACTAATAAAAAAACTCATCATTCCACTTTTTTGATTATTTTTCACCACCGTTTCTTCATCCATTGCTTTTTTTGATGATCAAAACACTATTATTATCACTTTTTCCAAAGAGATGTGTAAAAGAAAAGTTAAGAAAGGAAAAACAGAACTAGGGATTGAAGATTAACGGGTGTAAGGAGATAATTAAATATATTTAATTTTAGTATTTTGTCCTTTTAAGTAATTTCAGACATGGATAAATTTGGAAAAAAAAAAACAATTTCATATGGAGGGTGTAAGGAGGTAAAAGAGTGGTGTAAGTAGAATCACCCAATAACTTTTAACTTTTTACGAATAGATGTGTAAAAAAATATTATAGTAAAATCAACATGACAATTTTACCCTTTTGACTTTTAACTTTTTGACTTTTTGATAGTTGAATTCAAAAGGCAAAATAATAATTTTATCCTAGTGGCTTCCCCTACAAGCTACTCTTGAATAGTATAGATTTTTAAACTTTTTTGATAATTTTTTGACTTTTTTAATTTATTCCAAACAACGCTTAACTTTCGTTTTGGTAATTATTTGTTTTAATTATAAAATTAAAAAATTATTATAAATTATCACATCACTCTTTCTATATATATATATATATATTTATAAAATATTAAAAAATTATTAAAATAACTTATTTTCAAACCAACCCTTATTATATATCATATAAAAAATTTAAAATTATAAAATTTTATATTTTTAAACCTGTGATTAATGGGTATTTTTGAACTATGATCACATGTTACTTTATGATTCTATAATTAGATTTTGTTTATCATAACTTAAAAAAAGTTCAAAAATTACTATCATATTTAAGTCACATTATCTTATTTAAATTATATCACTTCTCTATCACCTCATATCAAATTCAATTTATATTTCATAAAAAAATTAAAAAATATATTTATTTAGATCATCCCAAATCACTTTTTAATAAAAAAAATTATTAAAGAATAAAATATTATAATTATTGATTGAGAAATGTGGAGAGACCTAATGAATAATTATTGATAATGGACAAATTTTTGAACATATTTTCACGGTCTTACGGTGATAATCTTAAATCAGTCCTGGCCCACTATCTTCTATTTTTCTATCTCTTTCACTTTTACTACTAGTATTATTTATAGGGAGAGAAATATCAAGAAGAGGAGGCTGAGAACAGTGTGGGAATGGCAGGAGGGAAGTTGTATATGATGATAGGTCTGGTAGTAGTAGTGGTCTCAGTGGCTATTGCAGGAAAATCGGTTGTAGCCCAAACCCATCATGTCGTCGGAGGCGATCGCGGCTGGGACCCTTCTTCCGACCTCGCCTCTTGGTCCTCCGGCAGAATCTTCACTGTCGGCGACAAAATCTGTAAATCTCTATCTTCTCCATACTCTCTATATTAGATCTATTTTTGATTTAGTGTTGTGTTAATTTATTAGAATATTTAAAATATCTAAGTAATTCTCTTTTTATATTTTTTATAATCATCAGCGAATCGTATTTTTACATATTATTAAGTTTAGAAAGTAAGTTTATACTTTTTTGTTTCAGTTTGTTTCCTTGTTTGGTTTCCGAGAAAACTGAGCAATGGAAAATCATGGGGAGTATATATTCTTTTCTAGTTTGGCAAAAAGTAACCACCCATTTAAATACGCTTAGTGATTTTTCTTTTACTTGATGCTAAAGCTCTTTTCGGACCTCTCTCAATTTGTAACGATGAGAACTAATTCCATATTCCATACCCCGGGCTAGATTTTTATTATTGAATGGTTTAAAAGTAAAACTCAAATTTCCATGTTTGGTTGCTGAGAAACCTGAAATTACGGCATTTATCCTCTGGCTTTGAAAACAGTAAAACTACCCACTTTATTTAGCTTCTGCGTTTGAAAGATTTGTGATGTAATTTAAAAAAGAAAAGATGTGTAAGAGCATCTCCAACGGTGAATTAGATTTTTCATCAAATCTGAGTAAAAAATGATTTATTTCACCAAATCTGGTACCAGATGCTCCAACGGTTCACCTTTCACCAAATTTGTCCCGGGACAACCGGGTGGTCGACCGGCCGATCGACCGGTGAGTGAAATTTTTATTTTTTTTTAATTGTCTGAACCATTTTTGTTGAACTTTCTGAACTTTTTCCGGGACGACCGGGTGGTCGACCGGCCGGTTGACCGGTTAGGGATTTTTTTTTTTTATTTTTTTTTTGAACTGTTTGAATCTTTTACTGATTGACCGGTTGGTCAACAGGCCGGTTAACCGGCTGGTCGATCGGTTGGTATCACCCCAACGGTCAGTAATAGTGATTTGGTGAAATGCTTCGCCTGTTCTCAGTTTGATGAAATGTTTGATGAAATCTCATTTTGATATCGATTTGGTGCAACCGTTGGAGCATCAAATAGTAACTTTTTCACCAAATTTTAAATTTGATGCTGGGTTTGATGAACCGTTGGAGATGGTCTAAAATAAAATAAAATATAAATATATTTTATTTATTTATTTATTTTTTTAAGTGATTGTTTAGCTTGTGTTAAAATAACATTTGTTATTTTAACACATTATATTATTTAGGTCATAATTATTTTATTTAAGTCATCATTTTTTTGTCATATTTTTTAAATTCAACTCATATTTTATAATTTTTTTTTATAAAAAATTAAAAAATATGCTAATCTATCATTTTTTAAGCAACTCCTAAATCTTTTTCGAAATCTCCTAATCAAACATCACATTAGGGCATCTCTAAGCCTTTTTTAATTGAGGCTTATTAGTTATTATAATTAATATTATTATCATATTTTAGTGATATAATGATTATTTTAACAAATTTTTTTAAGACTAATTACATTTGAAGATGATTAAAAAGTTTTTAAAACAATTTATGTATATATATAAGGAAAATAAATAGTAGCGTTAAAATATATAAATAAAAAAGAATTAAATAAAATAAAGAAGGGTAAATTAAACTGACATCCCTTGAGGTTTAGATTTAATACAAATTTCCCCTCTACCTTTTGAAAATTACAGTTCCCGCCTCATGATTTGAAGTCACATTACAAATAACCCCTCCCCTGAGTTGACCGTTAAATAAAGTACCAGCTTTTGCTGATGTGAGCCCTTAATCTTTTTTAAATACCAATTTTACGCTCATTTGTTCCCTTTTGTTATTGTATTTTCTTCTCCTCTTCTTGCAAGCACCTGACAATTATCAACCATTTTATAAACCACCTAATACAAACATCATTTTCTCAAAAAAAAAAAAAAAGAAAAAAAAAATCTATATCAACACAACCAACAGAACTACTAAAAATGAAGGGTTATTGCACAATACTATAGGATAGTTATGATATTTGTAGTGTTAGTTATTATAAATCTCATAATTAAAAATAAAATAATAAATCATAATGAAATCCCATATATGATTTTTTCGGTTATAACCAAAATAATAATCAAAATGAATCATAATTAACACACAACATAAATTATAACCGAAGAATTATAAAATTTTTCTTTTATTTATATTTCATTTAAAAAAAACTCTATAATACACGTACCATTTTCAACAAAAAAAAAAGAAAAAAAAAAGAAAGAAAGAAAGAGAAGTAAGACAGTTAAATAATACAAGTAAAGCAGTTTTTCGAACCCAACCCCAGAAAACTTATCTAAATCTCAGGCGGTTAATTAATAATTCAATATATATATATATATATTTGAGCTTGAAGTTTTGGTGGATTCCGGAGTGACTCATCGTCGTGGATTCGATATCAGCGCTGTGGATTCAATGTTGGACAAGACAATTCTGAGGTGAAGATAGTGGTAGAAGAGGCACATTGGGGTTGGTTCAATTCGGGTGTGGATTCGCTAGGTAATTGAGAAAACACTTCTGTAATTCCTTTTTGTTTTTTTAGTGGATTGTTTTGTGGTTTTGGCTTGTGGTTTTTTTTATTACAATTGGAGGTGTTGGAATTGTGATTTTTCCACGTTAAATCGTTGTGTCGATTTGTCTTTGATTGTTTGATTAGGATTGTTATTCGTTGTTTAAAATTGAAACATAATCACAAATTAATATCTTGGGGATTTTTAGATTTATCAAGTCTTATCATTCCAAGCAAATATATACGTCTGAGAGAAAACGGAGACACAATTCACAACTTGCTAGTTGTATGAACCAGAGGCGATTTGAACATAGAAACTTAATCTTAAACGGTTTTACCACTCAAAGCTTGACCAAGCAACTGATGGCCCATACAAATTCTAGAAGTAGAACATTTTCCCATTATTTCCTTGTTTCTAGTGTTCGAGAAAAATTACATGTTTGAAGCAATTAATCAAGTATATAAATTCCATATGTGAATTGATGTGACCATAATTACAGCCCTCAGTGAAATTGTCTCTAGAAGTCGGAGGAGCTCCACACCCATTCCTTAAATCTCTCATACTCTTTCCTTAATCAAATCTATCATTGGCACTATGAGCCACCATGGCTTATGAATCATCATCAACGGCTCTCTCTCACTACCCTCTTGCCGTTAATAGTAGCCATTGTCTTCACCTTTTTTTTTTTTTCTATTTGTCATCAATGGTGGAATTGAAATTGTTGTGGATAAGAAAACTAATGATCATGGGTGTTGATGAGTTTGGTGGTGGTTGTGGAAAAGAGTATGGCTGTGGGGTGGAGATTGGGTATTGATTTGGTGGTGATGGGTTTAGTAGTGATAGAGGTGGACATGGTGTTAGTGTTTGAGATTTGGGGTTTTGATGTGTTTGCTGGCAGCGAGGCAAAAGTGATGTTTTGGTGGGTAATGGTAAGTTGTTTGAGCGATGAGAGAAATAGTCGGTGGTGGAGTTGTAGTTTTGGGAAGAAGAGTCAAGTATTAGGGGGTGTAGTTACAGAGGATAATTGGGTAAGGGTAATAAGGTAATTATATGTTTCCTATTAACTTTAGTTAAAAGCCAAACACTGACGAGGGGTGCAGTGTAATTTTTAAAAAGTGGAGGGAGAATTTGTCTTAAATCCAAACGTTAAGGGTGTCAGTATAATTTACCAATTTTCTCAGCTGCCAGCAAAAAGTGGACGTTAGGGAGCAGTCACGAGGGCGTCAACTAACTAAATCGGGGTGTGTGCTTGGGCAGGGTTCACCTACTCCGCAGCACAGGATAAAATTGTGGAAGTCAAAAGCAAGGAGGAATACGAGGCGTGCGATGTGAGCAACCCCATTAAAATGTACACGGACGGCTTAGATAGAGTCACTTTGGACGAGGAGGGGATTCGCTACTTCGCGAGCGGGAAGGCTGAGAGTTGCAAGAACGGCTTGAAGCTACACGTGGAGGTCCAGCCTCACGCAAAACACGTGAACCACACAGTTGTTACTACATCGGACGGCTCAGCATCATCCGCAGTGGTTGCAGATGGGCCCACATCTGCATCAACTCATCTCAATGGACTCTCTCTTACAGTGTTTGTTGGGCTCCTGCTTTGTTATTTGGGCCTTTAGACCCCAATTACTTGTAGAGAAAAATTAGGGATCATGACATTTTTTTCATGAAAATTATCATGAAAAATTTATGATCCTTGGATTACCTTGATTAGTGTGTGGTGCTTTATTCTAAGTGTAATCCAAGAGTCACAAAACTTTCATGATTATTTTCATGAAAATTTTTTCATGATACCTAGCATTGCTCTTACTTGTAATATCCAGCCCACTTACTATTGTAGCTTTGTTTTATTTTTATTTTTTATTTTAAAAAAAACATATTTTACTATTATTGTAGGTTTGGTTGCTTATTTTGCTGCATGTTTTATAGCAGCCTTGAGAATCCTAGCTTGGTGATGGTATGTTTGTATTTGCATGTTTGGGTTATATATTGAAAATTAAGTTTCAAAACATTTAGTAATTTTAAGTTTTAAAGGCATGTTTGATTAGCGGGTTTAATAGTGAGGGAATTAATAATCCATAAAATTAGTGTAGAATTAGTTATCCAGTTGAATTAATGAGATACATAATTCTCTCTTGTACACGTTTGTTTTGCAATGGTATGGAAATATATAATTCTAATTATATGCTTGCTTTGTATTATTAGTTGTAGAATTAAATTTTTTTTTATCAATTTTGTTAGATAAAATGTCTATCAATATTTAATTCGAATAACAAAAATTGTAACCAAATAATAAAATGGGAGTTCATAAATTAATAATCTCAATCTTATGCTATAATTATATTATAAATAGAGAACAAAAAAAGATTACCTATCACTGTATGTATTCAACATTTCAGTGATAATTCAATTTTTGTTTTTAATTAAAATTAAGTTATTGTTAGACATTTTTCATATGGAAGTGATAGGTATGCATTATATAACATATATTAATTGCAATATCTCTTAATCTCGTTTTTTTTAACATCTTACTCATATTATCGTACAGATCTAATTGCAACCTTACTTGGCACCAGCTTAGAAAATGGGCTGAGTTTCTTGTTTTTTTTCACTACGTCACAAGTACAAAATATATTTATGCGAAGGGTAAGATAATCATTTTTTAATTAAAAACCCAAAAAAACTAGGAGTTGGTAAATACATCTCAGAAATTTATTCAGACACCTCATTTAAAAATAAAATAAAATAAAAAGAAAACAAAAACAAAATTTAATACCGTTTTACTTCTAAAAAAATTACAAAAAAAGGGACAAACCATAACTTTAGCATCGGCCAGTGCTTTCCAACTCTGGACAAACCACCCAAGCTTTTGCCAGCTCTTTTTAGCCCCTTCCCTTTTGTCACTACCTCCTTCCTTTATTATTGTTGCCACCTCATTTTTCTTTGATTTTTTTTTTGTCAGTGTATAAATTTAGATATCATATTGTATATATATATATATGTGTGTGTGTGTGTGTATATTGGGTCAGAGAGACACAGATTGATGCAAACAAACACACACAAGAGAGAAAGACACTGAGCTTATGTGGTTCAGTAATTGTCTATATCCACAGGCAACGGAATTCTATATACTTAGATATTACAATTCACTCATGTTTCCTCATCACTCTCTTCTTCTTCTTCAATTCATGTTTATATACAAAATACAATTCATTACCTATCTATTTACAGGTTTCCTTCGAGGATGAGATGCGCAAGTGATGATGCCAAAACACCACGTTTCGGACGCGTTCGAGAAGCTTCAAGGCGCCTCCATTGTTGACCTTTAGGAGCTTCAATTCAAGATGGTTTTCTTCAGTTGCTTTTGGATCATCCAGGAGCTTCCATCTTGATCCTTCGAGTCTTCTTCAGAGAAGAGAAATCATTATTCTCTCTTTCTTCTTCTTTCTTAATGGAGAAGTTGAGACAACTTCCTCACAATTCTCTACCTTGGCGAAAGTTCTCCATCTAAACTATATAGTGAGCAATCAGCACTGCCATGCACCTGAAGGTGCTTACATTTGCTTCAAGTGAATTAAGTCCAAACTCTATTTGAACTTAACTCCATTTATGTTCTTTTTCTGTTGGGTTTTTTTCTTTTTCTTTTTTTTTTTTTTTTTTTTTTTTTTTTTTTTTTTTGGGAGAGATGCACTATGTTTCTGACCCTAACCCTATCTTGGGGATTCTCTGTCTCAAGAGTCTTCTTTTGTGCAACCGTAAAATGATCAGACCGATCATACCACTGTCGTGGTGATTGCTTAATTTTGTAGAGAGATTTCTTATTCCAAATGAAATTATCCTTTCCAGCCACTCGAAACCTTCCAGGTTGAGATAAGAAAATTACTTCTTTCAAATCACCATTCTTCATGGTGAATTTTCATTTGCAACCGATTTCCTTCTTTCTGTTTGGTAGTCGTACCAAATCCTAAGTCTTATTCTTGTGCAGATTCTGTACTTCTTCTTTTCAGCTATCTTTTCTTGTTCGGGGTTCTTTTTGGCTGCTTTAGTTGTTGACATATCATTCCCAATTGGTGGAAATGCATAAGATATGATATTCGCATATCTTGCTGGTTTTTTGGTCTCTCTATTCGACGTCCTCGTCACAATAGACTCTGATTGCTGCGGTATTGCTGTGATTGGTTCTTTTTCTATTGCACCTTCTTCAATTCGTTCTTCTGAGTCTATTGGTGCATCAAACTCCACTTGATGCGTTCCAATGGCTTTGTTTAGATCATTAAAGTCTTCAAGCATGAGTTGCTTAAGCATTTTAGACTCACTAACTGTGACATCTCAGCTAATTATGACCTTCTTCGATTCAGGGCACCAAAACTTGTATCCTTTTAGTTCAAGACTAAAGCCCAAGATTACTCCTTTAGGATCAAGCTTACTTTTCTATACATATCGTAAGCTGGACTACCAAATATATGCAATTGATCATAGTCGTTGGGATAAGTATTGAACTATACCTCCAAAGATGTTCTTCCTTCACTTGTTGATAAGGTGGCTTGGATATGTCACAGCTTCATTCCAAAATTGCTTGCCTAAACCAGGTTGAGCAAACATACAGTGCACCTTTTCCAACGGAGTACTGTTCATCCGTTCTATCATTCCATTTTGTTGTGGAGTTCATCTTTCAGTAATATGATGTCCTATACCTTCTTTCTAACAAAGTTCCTTTAGCGGATTAGTAATGTTCTCTCTACCATTGTCTGATCTCAAGGTCTTCATTTTTCTGTAAGTCTAGTTTTCTATCATCTTCTTCCATGTTGCGCAGATGTTCACAACTTCATTTGTATTCTCCATTGTGTACACCCAAACACAACAAGAATATTCTTCAATAGATGTGACAAACCAGTGCTTCGGAGAATGCATTCAGAAAACCCGCTTGGATGTTCATTCCCAACATGGTTTAACCCTTTAGGGATATAATTGGTTCGGGACGGTCGGTATTTAGGTGAAATTTTGCACCGAATCGATAATGTCAGTTTTATTATATTGAAAACCGATACAGACTGAATTTTTTACCAAACCACACCAAACAACACCGATTCAAACGATTCGGCTCAATGCGGTTTAATCAGTTTAAGAGCTTTCAAAATGAGTCATTTCTTAAATTTGTAGTATAATAAATAATTTATATAAAAATATTAAATTAGCCATTTGTACACAATTTTAACTATATCCAATTCAACCATTCACAAAAATACAAATAATAATAATAACTACTAGTGCTTGAAGATTTTACTGAATTAAAATTAGAAATAAAATATAATCTAAGAGCCAAAGTCTTAACATCAAAATAAAGCAAAAACTTAAAACAATAATTTTATTATATGTAAATATTTACGGTCGGTTTTGGTGGAAATCGGTGTACAATATGCCAAAACCTCTAAACTGAAAATTGAAAAAAATAATTTCCAAAACCGAATAGACTAATTCGTATCAGAAAACCAACCAAATATGACCGGTTCGATTCGTTCAATTGGCTTAGTCGGTTTTTTGATTTTTCTTACATCCCTACTTACTTTCTAATGACACAACTCTAGAAGGCCCCCATACATTGGTATGCACATACTCCATCTTTTCTTTCGTACAATGTTCTGTTGTCTCGAACTTGACTTTAGTCTTCGTGCAATATGTGTCAACTTTATCAACTTTTTCATTCTTTCTACTGCTGGTGGCTGTTCCACCTACAATTGTACTCCCTTGCAAGAAGTACAAATTCTTCTTGTTTCCTTTCATTATAACCTGAGTTTCCGATACTACTACGAGATCTCCACCTTCCAAGGTAATCTTGAAACCTTTGGATGCTAAAGCACCCAGGGAAATGAGATTCTTCTTCAATTATGGTACATACTGTACTTCTTTCAAAGCTCGAACTATTCCATCATGTAACTTCGATTGGATGCTTCCTCTTCCCATTTTCTTATAGGCGTCGTCGTTACCCATAAGAACTGTTCCATTATCTAACTTCTAAAAGTCAGAAAAATAGTCCTGGTTGGGACACATGTGGAAGGTATATCCAAAATCCATGATCCATTTTTAGAATGGCACGGAAACGATGGAGCAATGCAAACACAATCTAAATCTTTGTTCTCTTAAGCAAGGCTGGCTATAGATGTCTCATTGTTATTATTCTTCGGACAATCAGCTTTCCAGTGTCCTTGCTTTCAACAAAGGGCACATTCATTTATAGCGGGTATTCTTTTGGTTGACGGTTCTTTAAACATGGAGCGGGATTTGTTTTTGCTGCTTTTGTTTGACCCTCTCCTAGATTGCTTCTTCTTCTCCTCCGATCTTCCTTGTACAACTAAGGCTTCACTTGATGTATCTTGATAATGGGCCTTCTTATCCTTCTTCTAGTACTCATTGTTAACCAATGTGTTAGACACATCTTCAAACTTGATTTCTTTCCTCCCATAGAATAGCGTGGTAATCAAGTGATCATATTCATCTAGTAAGGAATTCAGCAACAATAAAGCCTTATCTTCATCTTTAACTTCAACAGTTAGATTGAGTAGATCGGCCAAAATCTTGTTAAAGTAATTCTAGTGTTCGGACATCAAAATCCTTTTTTATACTAAAATCAGAAGAGCTTATTCTTCAAGTATAACCGATTCTCTATGCTTTTCGTTATGTGCTTGCCTTCCAACTTCTTCTAAAGATCTTTGACATTCGTCTCCTTTATGACAGAATACTTCTGATTTTTGCAAGACATAACCGGATGGTACCACAAGCTAACCGGTTGATCTTGTTCTAATCTTTGCTAGACATTTCTATAGGTTTGTCCTCCAAAGTGATGTCCAATTTCTGTTGGATGAGCACATCTAAGACTTCGCATTGCCATATGTAGAAGTTGTTTGTTCCATCAAACTTCTCAACCTTGAACTTGGCACTGAAGATTGTGGTCCTTCTTCCTTGGTTACTTGTTGA